CATATACAATAGGCCTAGTGTCTAATCGACATATGCCTAGGACAAAATGGTAACTAATACATACACACGCACATACAAGCATACATATACAACAGGCCTAGTGTCTAATCGATATGTGCCTAGGACAGTATGGTAATTAACACACACATAGAGTCGCTGCTATCTTTTCTCCTCTTTTTTCTCCTCTCTCCTATTTTCTTCATCCCTTCCATCTCTTCCTCTCACTCTTGTATATTCTCATAGAAATTAATCGGTAGTCAGAATGATTATGGAATCATTCTGTTTCGCTCTGCCCAGGACTATTGCCAAGTCAGTTGTGACAGATGTGACATACGGGACTGATATGACTGTTTGCCTGTAGCATGTGACATGATGTAACAGATGTGAATGTGATGTGACTATGATGTCACTGTGAGAGATGTGAATGTGATGTGACTATGATGTCACTGTGAGAGATGTGAATGTGATGTGACAGATGTGACTGGGATAGAGTTTTGAGACTCTATGACCGCGGGTTCAATCCCGGCCGGGGGTATGGTTTATTTGCAATCGTGTCATTACGATTTCTTGAGTCGTAGTGATGTAACTGTGATGTGATGTGACAGATGTGATTGTAATGTGATGTAACAGATGTGACTGAGATGTGACCGTGACAGGTATAACTGGGATGGGGCTTTGACATATGTGACTGGGATGTAACTGTGACAGATGTGACTGGGCTGTGACTGTGACAGATGTGACTGTGATGTAATGTGACTGGGACGGATGTGACTGAGATGTGACTGCGATGTTTCGCTCCAAGACGGACTGAAAAATCGTCAGAACTTTCCTCTCCTAAGTGCGGGTTACATGTTTTTTTAATTCCCACCATTCTTCCAATTTTTCACATTTCTCCTCTTCTCTATGCCATTCTCTGACTCCTCTTATTCTTTCTTCTTTCACTTTCTCTATTCCCTCTTCTCTGCCTCTTCCATGACTCATCTCTCCTCACTTTTCTATTCCTCCAGTTTTTCTCTTTCCTCCCTCTTCTCCATGCCATTCACTTAGTCCTTTCTCCTCTCCCTCGTCTCTCCCTCGTCTCTCCCTCTGACCGTCCACGCTGACACCGTGTGAGAGGACAAGGAAACGAAAACTCAAGCTTTATATGCGAGGCAGCGACAAGTTTAACAAGCTTGGTAAAATGTATTGCAAGGGTGGAAACAAGCGTCGCATCCGTAACTCTCCCTGGAGTGACACTAAGGCCACACACACACACACACGCACACACACACACACACACACACACACACACACACACACACACACACACACACACACACACTCAGTAGCGGCCAGTGAAGAGGCGGGCTCAGGAGCTATGACTCGACCCCTGCAACCACAACTAGGTGAGTACACACACACACACACACACACACACACACACACAATGATATAATCGATGCAGGATCCATACATAGCTTCAAGAAGAGGTATGACAAAACTGGTGGAGCAAGGAGAGAGTGGACTTAGTAGGGACCAGTGAGGAGGCGGGGCCAGGAGCTATGACTCGACCCCTGCAACCACAATTAGGTAAATTACCTGAGTATACAAGCATCTGGAAGTAATAAATAAAGATGAATCACCGGTATATTGGAAAAAATGTCTCCAGAATAAAAGTGGTTAGGAAGTGAAACGATCCGGGCAGCGAAATGGTAAAGAAAAAATCCGTACACAGTTTTAGAAATGATTATGACAGGACTCACGAAACCAGAAGGGATTGAACACAGTAGCTGCCAAGGTCGAGGAGTTGCCAGGGGTGAGACTCCACCCCTTCAACCACTGGGGTGGAGTCTGGCCGGAGGAGTCTGATCTCTGGCCGAAGGAGACTTGCGAATTCCTTGCATTGTTAAAATCTCTAGTAAGGCTGATGCATGCAGGGGATGAGATGAAAAGCTGTAAGTCTTCTCCCTGAAAGCTGGCTGCCTTGGATTAACGTCTAGCGCAAGCTGGGCACCAAGGTATTGGTCCAGTCTGGTGAGAATGGCACAGCACTGCGTACCTTGTTCCAAGGTTCGTAGGTTCGAGTCTCCTTCGGCCAGAGATCAGTGTTTATATATATATATATTATATATATATATATATATATATATATATATATATATATATATATATATATATATATAAACAACCATTGTGAAAGAATAGAGAACTTCCAAGCGCCTTCGTGACTACTCACATTATCAAGGAACAATGAAAGTAAAGCATCAAAGGAAGGTATATAAAGGGGTAGCCCACACCTCACTATCAGATCCCACAATAACGAAACACCTGACGCGAGAGAGCAGGCCCATCAAGATAGAGTTAATTTGTCTGTTTTCTCATCAATGTTTTTGAGAGCTTTACGAATTTGTAGTCCAGAGTTCATTGATGAGGAAATATCCAAAATTTATGAAATAGGTAATGATTTGAAATACCCAAGAAATGTAATTGATAAATCTTTTAAAGTTGCTAGAAATACTTT